CCCCCCCCCCCCCCCCCAATGCCCCCATGCAGGAAGAGTTCACGGCCGGACCGGAGGCGGCGGCGGCGGCGGCGAGAGCACGGAGGGCGGCTGGAGGAGGCATCCTCGACGACTCGTTTCAAGACGATGGAGGAGGCCGTTCATCGTCTTCTTCAGCGGCGTGGGCGGACTACGGTACTCGTGGTTCGCGTCAGAAGGAGAACACAGCCAACCCCAGCAGGTGTGTGCCGAACGCGTTCTTGTTTTTTTGTGGAAATCATCGGGCTTGTTGTGTATGTACCCTTGTCTTGCTGCATAGTGGGCGTGATGCTTTATTTAGATCTTCTGATGGCTCTACTGTGTTTTGTGACCGCGGACTCGAGCTTTTTTGCTAGATTTTGGGATTGGCAACTGACAAGAGTTTAATGTGAAAACTTCAACAGCAACAATCGGCTAATCATGTCTAGTTCGAGCTGACCTTGATTGTCGATTGGTTGATTGCAAATCAACTAAGAATGGAACGACTAACCATGTTTAGTACGAGTTGATTCATCACACACACGCCGCAACCTGCTTTCCGATGAAAATTGTGGCACGTCTGGTTCATGGCTTTCCGAAAAGTCGTCAGTTTTGGGGTTCGGGCATCCTGTTCGTCGTGGAGAAATCGAGCCTTGGAAAATCGCTCCAGGGGTGCAAAACGCGCCCCGGACTCAAGAAACCAGGAGTAAAAGAATTTGAGCCTAAACAAGATTCAAGATTTAAGAACTCGAGCACCATTTTTTTTTGCTCGATTAGGAAACCCCCTTACAATAAAACCTACATTGCGACCATTCGTAACATGACCCGAGGAATACGGTAAAGAACCCCAGCCTCGGCCGAAACTAGACTAGAGGTTCTTATATACGTGCGGGCGCGTTCTGTATCCTTTTGTTGTTTGTGCTGTTGGAGGTGGCATGACGCAAGATAACACACCCCCTGGGCCGATTTTCGAACACCAGCCTTGGCCAAAAGTACATTGAGGTTCTAAGTGCGGGAGCGTTCTCCGTGTGGTATGTATTGCGTGCTTCCTATGGTATGCTTTCGTTCATCCTCCCACCGTGACCTGAAAAGCAATCTCTAGCTCGTCAGAGGCCGAAAGAGAAAGAAGGTTGACTCAAGACCTGTGTTGCTCAAGAGTGAGAGACAGGCGGTAGGCAATGCCATCGCCATGTAGCATATCCATCAACACATGTCATCATCGTATTCCCCATACTGGACTCTGCCGAGCACCCCAAACACAATATCAACATCGAGCAGGTGCTTCCGTGGTTTGTTGATGGCGGTCGAGGGGCTGGTAGTCCGTTGAGGGTTCGACTACGTTGTTCTTTCGCGGTACCGGAGCGACCGACATCAACAACGTTGACAATATCAGCGTCGAACATAACAACAGCAGCAACACCCGAAACCTGATGTCTTACAGCATCACCCCAACACCGTCAACCACCCCCTACATCACCCCCCCCCCCCCCCCCCCCCCCCCCCCCCCCCCCCCCCCCCCCCCCCCC